TGTCCTTCCTCTGCTTGGCTCTCAGACACTAGCAGTGGGCTTGCTTGTTGGAGGAGCTTCCTATGGACAGTCTGATAAGCCCCAGAGAAGGTCCCAGCAAGCTCACCCTATAGTAAAGACCATAGTCAGAAAGTTTACAGTGCTGACATCCAAATTATTGGAGTTCTTAAAAGAGATTAGAGACACCAAAGAGGGAGAAACCATCAGGGAAATGATGGTTCTAAACTGAAGGGCACGTTTGTAGGTCGGAAGACCCACTGAGCATCCAGTATGGTAAATGAAAATAACCCTACAATGAGGCAAAGAAAAGATCCTAAAGCTTCCAGAAAGAGGAAAGAGGTTCTACTATGGATCAAGAATGGCATCATCTCATCAGGACACAGTAAACAAGGAAATAGTGGAGCCAGGTCTTCAAAATTCTGAGAGGACACTTCCAAAATTCTGTACCCAACTCTTAAGGGCTGAATTGTGTCCCCCTCCCCTTTTTATGTTACCTTCAATACCTCTGAATGTGACTGAATTTGGAGATAAAGGCCTCTACAGAGATGATTAAATGGAAATGAGGCCATTAGAGTGAGTCCCTGATCCAGTCTAACTAGTACTCTTAAAAGAAGAGGAAATTTGGATGCACAGAGGAAAAACCATGTGCGGACATAGCAAGAAGGCAGACATCTGCAAGCCAAGGGGAGAGGCCTCAGAAGAAACCAAACCTGTTAACACTTTGATCCAGCCTCCAGAACAGTGAAAAAACACATTTTGTTTAAATCCCCCAGTCTGTGGTGCCTTGTAATGACAGCTGGAGCAACCTAACACCAACCTATCACTGAAACATGAGAGGGCAAAAACAAGGTACTTTGGGATACGTGAGATATTACAAAAAGGTAGTCTTCATGCACCCTTTCTCAGGAAGCTGCTGGAGGATGTACCCTACTAAAATGAAAGAATAAGGTAGAAATAAGAAAGCCTTAGATCCATGGAAAAGGGGTCCCTATGGCTATATACAACACCAAGAGAATGGCCAATCTAGGAAGGGTAGCTTGAAGACCACAGGAGACATACCTTCCTTAAGCAGACAAAATTGGCATGATACCTGCTGTGATTAAATGTATTCAGAAGAGAGAAGGCTGATTAACCGTTACAGACAGTAGGAAAAACAAGGTTCTGCAAAAAAGGAGGACTGGATGACTCACATTTACATGGTCACCTCCATGTAAACCCTGTATAGGCCCTGCCACGGGTAACACCAGCTGCATGAGGTGAGGGGACTGGTGTAGGGGTGTGTGTTCTGGAGCTCAGAATCTTCATCTTCTATAGATAATGCCTCTGACTGACTAGCAATACAAACAGGTGAAAGATAACTGTTTTTGAGGATTCAGAAAAACAAGCCCTCTTGCCCTGGCTGATTTGGTTCAGTGGTTAGAGCATTAGCCCTCAGACCAAAGGGTCTTGGGTTTGATTCCCAGTCAAGAGCATGTACCTGGGTTGCAGGTTCAATCCCCAGCTCAATTGTGGGGGAGGCAACCAGTTGATGTGTCTCTCTCACATTGATGTTTCTCTCCCCCGCCCCTTCCACTCTTATCTAAAAATCAATGGAAAAATATCCTCTGAGGATTAACAAAAAACAAGTCCTCTTTCTGCTGGTGGGAGAATAGCTTACTGAGGAATTCAACTTCTAGGAAACACATCAGAGCTGTGTGCAAACACATTAAGCTGCTCACCACAGCAATTTAAAATACTGCAAACCTGGAAGTAATATCCCATTGTAGAATGCTGCCTCTCTTACGAGATGGAATTTTCTGTAGATTTTAGAATGTACTGGATGAGAAATTCATTGACTTGAGAATTGGGAATTAAGTATGAAAATAGTTTATATAACTATATACAGCAAAAATGTTATTTTGGAGTTAGTGGAGTTATAGGTGATTTTCTGGGCGGGGGTATTTTATATTTTTTTACATTTAAAATGTGATGCTTCTACAAAAGGATATACAGTCGTCCCTCGCCACTTCACACTTCGACTTTCACGGCTTCACTCTGTCGCGGGTTTTTCAAAATATTAATTAAAAAGTTGATCGAGACAGTGAAAATGATACAGTGCGCGCTCAGTTGTCTGTCAATTATACACCCCTGTATTGTAATTAAAATTACTGTATATACAGACGGTAGGCCTATGTATTCGAGCACCCCAGGAATCCTTCAACGCCAGGTGCAACCACTGGAGTCTGGAACGGATTAACCTCGATAAGCGAGGGATGACTGTACATTCAACTTGAGAATAAAAGCTGTGGTAGACCCATAGTTGTATTTGTGTGGTTGTGTTTTCAATTCAACTGATTATGGTTTGTATATATATTTGAAAGACATATTTTACTATGAAAAATGGGTAAGTAAGGGAAATGGGTGGATGGTACATGAGTCAGCAGAATAAAGCATCATCTTTAAACCTCCAAAGAGTTTCTGAAAATAGTATTTTTATCTTCACACAGGATGAAGCTGGAGGCAGATTTGTCGCTTTCTCTGGAGAAGGACAGTCATTGCGTAAAAAGGGAAGGAAACCATAAGTTGGGACTATTAGCTGATTGGAAAATAAAATAACCAATTACAACATAATGGCTTTTAGTTACTGGCTCTGACAAGGGATGACTATATCACAGGGGATGCTCTGTAATTTTAGGTTTGTTTAGAGTTACCTAAGAATTGTCAAGTTTAACTTGGAAGTGGAACGGCAGGACTTTGTGGTTATGGACTTGAATTGGTGCAAGAAAGCTGTCTCTGAAGTCCCATAGGTGGCCTCCTTGCCACTTCTTGCTTTCAGCCCTTGGGAACACTTCCATTGCCTTAGCACAAGCAGAATTCCCCAGTTCTGATAAAAAACCAGTGGAGGGGATTGAATTGTTCTAATTTGTGATGTTCTTTTTTTTATCCTTCCTTTTTGTGGGTCTACAGCCTAAATGTTGCTTTTGGCCTAGAGAAAGGTGGTTTAAATAGATTTGTGCTCTATAAATAGTATTTACATTTCTTGTTTTTTTTTCCCCAAAATAACCATTCCTCAGAGGGGAAAATCTGATCTGAAAGCATTTCTCTTTTAGTTTTCATTTGGAAATAACTGGCTCCTTAATTAATCTGTTCTGGGGTGGGAGGGAAGACTTCATGGTGAAGCACAGATGTGAATATTAGAATAAATAAAAGCTGAAGATACTGTCCACTTTCTTCTTCCTTATCCCTTACTCCCAGTTTAATGTATTACATTACATTAAGGTTCTGCTGGCCTGTCTTTATTTTGTATTGGTCTCAGATCCTCACTTTCTATAAAGAGATCTTTTGACATGTTAATCTAATTATTTTAATCTCTTGCTCTCTGAAAATAATTCCACATCAAGAATTTCAAATAAAAACAGAAAATAAATAAAACATGGATTGCCTCTAAATGTTTGATTAGGTGTCAACATGGGTTTATGTTTGTGCCACTGACCAGGAGTTGGAGGAAGGCCTCCTTGCAGGTGCCCCTCATTCCATCCTGCTGTTAGAAAAGAATTTGGGGGGGGGGGGTAATTCTGGACATTGTTGTCCTTCTGGACATCAAGGCTCTCTGATCCCTGGGGTGGGGATGGTCAGGCCCAGCAGAGTCTCCCCTTGTACCAGGGGTCCTTCTCTGAACAAGTCTCCCCCCAACATTCAGAAAAGAAGTAGATGGGCCACTGTAGGACAACAGCCCCAAGGTCCACCCATGTATCCTCAGAGAATGAGCACTGAAGGTCGCCATGATGACCAGGACTGGGCCCTGTGACCCAAAACGACACCACTGGTGATGGATGTGGTTTCAGAAGGCATGAAGTACCACTGTGATCTGACTCTTCACTTAAGGTTCACTAGCAGATAAAAACCTTTGGTGGGTTGGCGGCCTCTACTGGCAGGATCACATTGCCTGACGCATTGTCATTTTATGCATAATGAAGCTGGCCCTGGTTTTTTCTCCCCCTAGGCATCACGGACTGTACATGCAATGAAATCAGTCTTGTTTTTTTGCTGGAGGCACACACTCCTACCTGGGCCAGGGGTGGACCCTAACGATGGGTCTTCTGGTGGTACAGAGGGGTCACCTGGATCAAAAGTCTTGGTCTTTTTGGCTGTACCTTGGCCTGGAGCCTTATTGTCACACAGTGTCTTCTCCAAGTTTGGTCTGTGAGCCAACTTGGCACGACTCCAGATAAAATTGAAGATTCTGGCTCACCTGCAGGGCATCTGACCCAGTCTCAATCTTAGAAGGGGCCCAGCAACTGCCTTGTAAGGGGCTTCCCAACACACGATTAGGTTTGCGTACGTTGGAGAACCAACTTGCAGTGCTTTCTGTCTCAGTAAAACTTTCACTCCTAATCAGACCTACAAGCCGCCCTTGGACTTGTACCCCATGCCACTCACAGCCTCCAGGCCTTTGACCACCCCTACCTCTGTGCTCAGAATGCCCATCTCGCCTCTTCAACCTGGGTACCGTTGGGAGGTTATCCTGCACCCTAGGTACCCTACCCGCAACTCATGTCACGCCCAGCCAACCCCGGTCATTTTCTGAGTTCGAGTGGACATTACAGCAGTAGTCTTGGCAGTTTCGCGGCAGTTACTGCACAGTATGTGCTTACGACAATAAACCCAATCTTTAAGATTATGAAAATAATAGTCGCTGAAAAGAACTGGCCTGACCCGCGTTTCACAAACAGCCAACTTAACGTGGCGGTGCACCCGTGATGCCTATCAAGCACCGGGAAAACGCCATCTGTCAGTAGCACTCTGGCTGCGCTGGCTCTGCACGGAGCTTTCCTACCCTCCCAGCACAACCCCCTACCCTTCTGAGCTCCGCCCCTCCAAGCATGCGCCCCGTCCCCGGCTGTTATTGGCTGCCCTGCCCGGACGTCATGTTTATTGGCGCGTCTCAAGGAGGTGGCGAGGATTTAAATCGTCATATCTCTGAGTTCCTTGGTTTCTCACGCGGTGCGAGCTTCATCAGTCTTCATTGGCTAGCGGCCTGAAAACGGCGTGGGTCAGGTGCTCACCTGGACATGGCTGACCGCGGCGGCTGGCGGGTAAGTGTAGTGGGCTCCTGGGACCGGCGGGGGCCTCGTTGGACCGGGTGACCGGCTTAACCGAGCTCCCTCCCCGGTAAGGTTCGGGTTGGGGCTCCGGGGTGGGCGGTGCAGCGGCTTCCAGCTCAGGCGCACCACTCGCCGCAGACGCCGCGCCCCTGCGAAGCCTACCGCGCCGAGTGGCAGCTCTGTCGCAGCGCTGGGCACTTTCTGCACCACTACTACGTCCACGGCGAGCGGCCGGCCTGCGAGCAATGGCGACGCGACCTGGACAGCTGCCGTGAATGGAAGGATCGTCGGAGCACGGAGGCCCAGGTGCGCCCGGGAAGGGTGTGTGTGTGTGTGTGTGTGTGTGTGTGAGAGAGAGAGAGAGAGAGAGAGAGTGAGAGAGAGAGAGAGAGAGAGAGAGAGGGGGGGGGGGTTGGCGCTGAGCTGCCTGGGCGCGTCTCCAGGGCGTCCGAATGCACAGGCCACCCCTCGCCACGTTCCAGGTCCAGAGACTCTGGAGAGGAGCCCTGCCGGCTGGCCTCCTCTTTTTGTGCATTCCTCTCCCCCCCCCCCCCCCGAGAAATACCAGAAATTAGACTGGATTTTCAGACACTGAAAGACAAAGAGGAGAGTTGAAAGTGGTTTGGAAAGAATGGAAGGGTTCCCTAACAGTGTTAGGATTGTAAGCTGACCTGCAAAGGAAGTGATACTGCTGAGTCCCGAAAGACCAGGAACCAGCCTTAGCGGCCTTCACCCAGTCCTGGGGGGGGGGTTACACCGAGGAAAAGGTCCAGGTGCTTGGAGTAGGAGGGTAGGCTGTAGAGGGGTAGGATATGAGGCTGGAATGAGGCTGGAGATGTACCAGGGACCTGGTGGGCCTTTAAAAAGGGTTTAGATTCTAATTTAAACATGTGCTGCGAAGCATGATTTGTTTCATACCTTTAAAAGATCAGTCTGCTGCCATGGTGGGAGAGTGCATTATGGAGCGGCAAAGGACCAGTAAGGAGGTGGTTCTAGTTGTCTATGCATTCAGCAGAGACTTGAGATACTTGTCATGTTGGGCACTCTTGGGGATACAGGAGCGATAAGAATAGAGCACCTGCCCTCCTAGCACCTACAGTCTAATCTAGAGTACAGTGATGCCTTGGAGTTGTTGTGGGTGGGGAGATGGAGAGAAGCTGTGAGGGTGCAGTGCTTATGGGGAGTGTCTAGGGAAGGGGAGCCTACAGGATTGGTGGCTGCTTCAACATTGTTAAGTGTATGTTATTTCTGAAGCAGACAAACTGATGTGGAAACCACATTCTGTATAAAGGAAAATGTGACAAGTCCATAGTAAGTGGAAGTACAAAAAATGGAAAAGAGAACTTCCAGTCTGCATAGCAAGAAATTAGTAACTATTATATATGTATAAGCTCTTATATCATTAAGAAAAATGGGGATGGTTTCAGAATAGAAAAGTAGACAAATGATATGAAGAAGGAATTAATTTAAAAAGAAAACCAAATGGCCTGGTATAGAAGTTAAAACAACAGAATGTCAGAAGTGCTGATAGGGGTTTGGAGAGTCAGGTGTCCTTGTGCAGTGTTGGTAGAATGTCAGGAGTTCTGACTGTCTAAATGTCAAATGCATACCTTTTGACCCGTTTTACTTCTGGAAGTTTATCCTAGGGAAATAATTGGGTAACAGAATACAGTTAAAAGTTCAAAATGTCCATTTTGTTACTGTTTATGATTGTACAAAACCTGAAAGTGTCCTAAATTCCACTTACAGACATTATCCAAATAACTTCTTTCACACCATGGAGTATTACATAGACATTAAAAGGAAAAGAAAGTAAAATATTCTGGTGTGGAAAGGTGCCTCGGTGAAAAAAGCAAGTATACACTAGCCAGTAGATTATTGGGGGCGGCTGTCAATTTCACCTAGGGGACAGAGTTCTGGGAGTCTTTCATATTATACTTTGAATTTTTAATCACTTTTTAAACAAGAACAAAAACATGTGTTTGAGCTTAAGAAGACTGAGAAGGTGAAATTAATATGTGTAAAGAGGCCAGCATAGCCCCTGGCACCTACCAAGGGGCCCTGTGACAGTTGTGATATACTGCCCGCCCTGTGTTTATTTTGGGGAGAGTGGCATCTGTGGTCTGGACTCTTCTTCACCCCTCCAAGGCTCCCTGGACTTGTGTCTCTTGCCTGATCTTCCTCCCTCTGGCCACTCTTATTATATTTTTATTTTTTAAAAATTTTTTTCTTCTTTATTGATTTTACAAAGAGAGGAAGGGAGAGGGAGAGATAGAAATATTGATGAGAAAGAATATTGATTGGCCACCTCCTGAATGCCCCCCACTGGGGATTTGGCCCACAACCTGGGCATGTGCCCTGACCAGGAATTGAACCAGCGACCTCTTGGTGCATGGGTCGATGCTCAGCCACTGAGCCACACCGGTCGGGCTCTGGCCACTCTTTTAGACTTTTGTCTTTTCTTCCAGTTTAGCACCCAAGCAGCCTTAGCAAGTGAATTTGATTAGGTCAACAAAAGGCATCAAGCCCTGAGGCCCAGGAGAAGACATTTTTTAAATTTCCTCAAATTATGGTGATCTAAACAGTACAATTGACCTTTGAACAACGAGGTTTGAATTGCATGCCTCCACTAACTGTGGATTTTTAAGTGGACCTGTGCTGTTCAAAGGTCAACTGTATTTTCCACCCACAGTTGTGAATCCACATGTGCAAAAGCCAACTTAAGTTATACAGATTTTTAACTGTGGTGGGTTGGCACCCCTAGCCCCATATTGTTCAAGGGTCAACTGTAGTTTTTCATAGTAGCTCTGGAGAAAGTATGATCTGGATATGTGTATGCTAATCTGGAACAACCAAGGTGTATTAGATGGAAACAGTTTTGGAGTGGTCTGTTAATGCTCTGTTTGTCCATCTGTCTTTGGGAGACTGCTGAGGAGGGAGGTACAAGAACCATGTGAGGTGCAAAGTGACCAGGGTCTTCCTTGCACAGCGGTCCCTCTGTGAGAGCGAGCGTGGGAGAGTCCAGGCTGCAAGAAAGCACGCCCTGGTGTGGACCCCGAGGCAAAGGCCCCCTGCAGACTGGCATCTCCCTCTGCCGCAGGATGAGAAAGACGAATGACAAGCACCCCTGCATGGCTTCCTCCGGTCTGTTTAAAGTAGGCTATTGCACGACCCTAAGGACTCTGACTGGCCCAAATATTCTAGTTGGTACCTGGGAGCTTCACCTGGCTTGGAACACAGAGCTCAACGTCTCCAACGCTACTTGTCCAACCCTCACCTGCATTCAGAGTACCCCACTGCTGCCATGTTCTGGAAGACAGTTTTGCCCACTGCACAGCTTCCAGGAAGCCAAGCACCACTATGGATTGCTGTGAACAGCCAGGTGGGGCTGTCTCATGCTCCTCCCCACCTCCCCTCCCCCAACACAATAGCACAGGAGATGGCCATCCTAAGGTCTAGAATTCTCAGGTAAATCCGTGGACACATAATGGGGTCAGAATGCAGTAACTAAATGGTTGTGTGGCCATGAACACCTTACCTGGCCCTGGTTTGGTGGTGACCATGCATTGCCAGCCACTGGCGCTCACACTTGGCTATGGCCCACTCGCTCAGTTCCTCTGCAGACACAGGTGGAGCGTACCTCTGTATCAGCAAGCTGCATCTTATAAGCTCACAGGAGGTGAGATTCCAGTTTTTAAGAAATGTACACAGCTACAGAACACACCTTGCCTAAAAAGGGTTCATGGCCTCTTGGATGAAGAAACCCAAACACAGGACATATGGAATTTTGGTCTGCTTCCCTAAAATTCCCCCTGATCATTTTTAGAAAATGTGGAATATGTCAAAAGCCATTCTACACATTCAATTCCAAATGGAAGCTGAAAATTAAATCAAGGTGGTTGTTGAGATTGTTAAATTTCATGTCTGACTACTGGGACAGTGTTAAAATGAGGTCATTAGGGTAGGCCATAATCCAGTATGACTAGAGAGGGACAACCATGTGAGGACACAATGAATAGGTGGTCATCTACAGGCCAAGGAAAGAGGCATTCAGAGAAACCAACCCTGCTGGTACCTCAATCTTGGGAGTTCTAGCTTCCAGAACAGAAATGTCTGTTTCAGCCACACAGGCTGTGGCATTTTTTTCTGGCAGCCCCAGAACTGTCACCATCCCAGACTAACAGCACTCGAAAAGGAGTCCTCAGCCCCCGGCCTCTCACCCTCCTGTGGGACATAGCAACTTTGTTAGTGTGTCCCTGGCTTGCCCCACTCTCTTCAGCCTCCCTCCCCAGTTTAAAATGCTGAGCTGGTCCCACTGTTGATGTGAGGAAGTTCATGTGTTCTGTCTGCCTCACCCAGGAAGGCCCTGCCTCTCTGCCACCTTTGCAGACAACAAAGAACATACAGCCCGCACATCCTTCACCTTTGTTTCTTGGGGTCATTTTGTGCCTCCTGCTGGGGGCATCTGCCCCACACAATTGGAATCTTATTTTTATCGGGGGCAATGGTCAACACTTGGTCATCCTCTCCTCAGTACCTGGCAAGGAAGGGCAGCATGGGGGAGAGGGTATGAATGAGGACATCTGTAATAGTGTAAACAATAAAAATAAAGTAAAAGAAGAAATTTTTTTTAAAAGGGCAGCAGCCCTGGCCAGTTTTCCTCAGCAGTTAGAGCATCGGCCTGTGGACCAGAGTCCCAGGTTCGGTTTCCACTAAGGGCATGTACCTTGGTTGCAGTTTGTCCCTGGCCCCGGTTGGGGTCGTGTGGATAGCAACCACTCGATGTGTCTCTCTCACATTGATGTTTCTCTCTATCTGAAGATAAAATGCAAAAATATCCTCAGATGAGGATAAAAATAATACCAAAAAAAAGGGCAGCACGTCTCACCCCCATCCATACTCAGGTGAATTAATTTTGACTCTAACATAAGACAAAGAGACACTTGATTAAACTTACATTTATTTTCAGCATGCCTGATTCTGACAAGCAGACTTGAGCTCTGTTCATTCTGGCTCTCAAGGGCAGCATATTCAGACAGCTGCCTGCAGCTCTACCTCTTAAACTCCACCTGTGTGTACACCTTGGTGATGTCGTGGTACCTGCCTTCTGGGGGCTGGTAGTTGGAGACTGGTGGTGTGTAATCTGGCCCTTCTCTCTCAAAGGGGAACAGACTGGGGTCTCGCTTGATGGCCTCTACATGGAGCTCCTGGGACGTGAGTTGCAGCTCCTGCAGAGCTTCCTGTTGGGCCTCAAGGATGCATTTGATGGCTTCTCTCTCCATCTCATGCTCTCGCTGCTTGTACAGGGACCACTTCTTCAGAAGCAAAGCTCTCCGCTCAACCTCCTCAAAGGAGAGCTCTACCTGAGGTCGCTGTCTGGGAACACACAAATCCAAAGGTGTGAAGCTAGGGAGCACTGAACTCACTGCCCAGGGAGTCTGGGTGACTGCATAAGGCCCAAGCATCCTCCCTGCCAGACACAGATGGAACTTAGAAAAGAAAGTGAAAGTTTGGGACAAATTAAGGAATGGAATGTTGAATGGGGCAACAACTGTAATAGATGCTAGGAACCACTGCCATTTGCTTTACATGGATGAGACTGATCCTCTGAAGACTCTGATAGCACTTTCTCTTTCCCAGGCAGAGACTACATTTGGTGAAAGGTGACTTTGGAGAAAAGTAAAATGGTATGATGAAAACAGACACCAAAGTTCCAGGGAGTTAAGAGCCTATATTAGCCCTGGAGTACCAAAAGACACCTGCCATGTCCCACTTGTATGGCAAGTTGCTACTTTATAAATATACACACTTTTATAAGATAGCAACCCTGCCAGCCATGAACACAACACATCCCAACTGTGAGCATTTCCATCGCAAAGCAAGAGGCTAAGGGGTTTCTACCATCAGGATGGGCAAGGCCTGCAGACCCAAGGGCCAAATTATCAGTCACAACTACAACTTCTCTTGCAAAAAAAAGCAGTAAGAACTTTTGAGCAGTGTTAATACGAACTCAGGCATTTGGCCTGGCTTATCAAATAATTATTGAGTTTCCTTCCCACATTCAGGCATTCAAGAGCACCATCCAGAAATGTTTTCCACCTCCCATGAGACACAATGAGAAAAGGACTCAGCCCAAGCCTACTGACCCCTTCCCATCACCTGGTGTGAACTGCAGGTAGAACTACATTTAGGTGATGGAACTCCTTTGCCCTGAGGACCTCAACCCTAGAGGACTCTTACCTCACTTTATCCAAGAACCTTACAGGTGTAATAAAATCTTCAATGGGAATTAGCTCCTGGCTAGCCTTCTCCAATTTTCGGATCCTCTTTTTCAAACGGTCCTTTACAGCTTGGTCTTTTTTAGGATCTACCTTCTTCTTCTTTCGCAGAGGCTCTGCTCTAATGGATAAAGCAAACATTAAAAATTTTCGTCAGTCTCACAAACATGCTGAGACATGGCACTAGGTAAAGTACCCCAAACTTGTACTGAGATCTCCACTGGGAAATGAATTGTGTATGGTCCTAACCTCATAAGCTGAGAGTGGTAGGGAAATGGACTCCACCCCAGGGTCCTTGTGAGAACTGTGTGGATACTATCAACCCAGGAAGGGGTGGGAAAGCTTCATGGGGCATGAGGGTATAAATTAAAGGGAAGTGCTCATCTTTAGTGCTAGAGTTCAGGTGTGCCTTGGGATTGCACTGGAAAGTGCAAATACCAAACTGATACATTAGTAGCTAATTACATCTTTTTTCTTTCTTTCTTGATTTTAGAGAGAGAAGAAGGGAGAGGGGGCGAGATAAAAACATCTGTGGCCACCTTCTGCATGCCCCCCACTGGGGATATGGCCCACAACCTGGGCATGTGCCCTGACTGGGAATCGAACCAGCAACCTCTTGGTGCATGGGTCAATGCTCAACCACTGAGCCACACCACCCAGGCACTAATTACATCTTAAACAGATTTGTGATTTATAAAAATTATTTCGCCCCTGGCTGGTTTGCTCAGTGGTTTGAGCATCAGCCCACAGACCAAAGTGTTGCGGGTTCAATCCCCAGCTCTGGTCAGGATCGTGTGAGAGGCAACCAAGGACCATCTGTCTCTCCCCACCCTCCCTCTCTTCCACTCTAGCTAAACAATCAATGGAAAAATGTTCCTACTTTGGGGGATTTATTAACAAATGTTCCCATCCTAGAACATTAACAAAAGTCTGATTTACTCTCAGGAACACCTCTAGTATGGTGATAATTTAAGAATAATCAAATCCTCTAGCATCAAGACCAAAATTTTTTAAATCGAGTCTACCCCCCCCCCCCCAACTTCTCCAGGGAGTCAGAAATGGAATGCCCATAGAGAACAGAAGTTTATGCCCTTTAAAAACACACAAGAATCTATTCAAAGGTAATTAAATTTCATTTAAACTATTTTTACTTTTAATTTTTGTTTTCTGATTACAGACAGCAGCAGTATTCCATACAGAGAATGATGAGAGATAGAAAAACATTTAGCTGAATCTGTGAAGTGTTGTAGGCTATTAGTTTTGCAAACCAAAGAGTAGTTTGTTCTTTTCAAATGCACGTCCATTTCCCGCTGACACCCCCAAAAGAGGTCCGACCCATAGTTGAGTTTACCTCAAAGGAATGAGTTCCCAGAAAGACAGTAATGAAGCTCGCTGGTGAGTCTCTCTAATCTGTGTCTGCCAAATTCCCAGACGCCTGAAAAAGATAAGAATATATATATAAACATCTGATTCTCCCCACTAAACAGAAGAAAAAAATGTTTACAATGCCCTCAAAACCCAAGGCACTCGTAACTGCTAGATGTGACAGCAAAGTCAATATGGGAGGTTTCTCAAAATTCTCCCTTCACGCCCTGGCCGGTTTGGCTCAGCGGTTGGAGCGTCGACCTGCGGTCCATAGAGACCCGGGTTCGGTTCCCGCTAGGGGCGTGTGCCTCGGTTGCAGTTTGTCCCCAGCCCTGGTTGGTTGTGCGGGTGGCGACCACTCGATGTGTCCCTTTCACATCGATGTTTCTCTCTCTCTCCCTCCCACTCTACCTGAACAACAACAAAAATTCTCCGTTCACACCAGTGTAACTAATTAGGCAGGGTCCTTGATCGCCAGAGTCCTTGGATTTTCATCCACAGGAAGAGCCTCAGGAAGAGGTGGGATCGGTCAGTTTATTTCTTAGACATCCGCAGACAAGGGCAGGCGAGACCAAGACCAGCTCGCGCAGAGTTCCCCGCGCGTGCCCGGGCCAAACCCCGCGAAACAGTCAGGTGCGCACTCACCAGCCCGGCGAACGCAGAGCACACGCGACAGCTCCCAGTACCCTGGCGGCCATGGCTCCTAAGGCAGCCAACTGGCTGCTTCCGGGCGCGCACCTTGGCGGTCCGGCCCGCGGTGCCTCGCGCTACGGTCCGGCCACCCCGTCGATTCACATTCTAGCGTTCCTGCCTGGGGCGCGAGCTGTGAAATACTGGATCACGCTTGGTCCCGCCCCGTCGTAGAGGCAGCGCACGGGCACGCCCCCAACGGAGGGTTGGATCACGCCTGGCCCTTCCCCAGGCGCCGGTGTGGGCCCTCTCTTCTGCCGCTGCCCGGCGCAGCGATCCCGCATGTCACTCCCCTACCTAGTCGGACTGCACCCCTGCAGTGCGACCAGAGTGGCTAAAGGAATGTACTTCTATTCCAGATCTAAGTATCCACATCTGTGAAAATGGTCCCGATCTTCCAATAAACGCACCACCTCGGCCTACCCCGTGATCCTACCCGGGTCTGGGTCATCTCCCTGCATTCATTCAATCCTGGCACCGCGGCTGCCGCCCGCCGGCGGCTGCACCCAGGCGCCAGCACGTGGCCTGGCGCTCGCGAGATGCCCAATAAACGCGTGTTGATGAATGACGGAAGCTAGTTAATCAGTCGGACTAGTAATCAGCGAGGTACAGCTGGAAAAGAGGCGGCCCACCCTACTCCGACCTTGTCTGGCATCGCCGACTTGGGCTGCAACTCGAGGCCCCCTCGCCCGCCGCGGTACCAGCCGACCCTCCCCCTCGTCCGCCGTTGCTCCCGGGCTGAATCCGAAGCGGAGCCGCCCTGTGCTGTCCCAGCCAGCGGAGTAGCCTGGGCGGCCCCGTCCGCGTGGGGAGCAGTTTCCCGCCGGGGCGATTTGGCAGGTGCGCGCCGTGACTTCCGGCGTTGCCCGGGAGCTGCCGGAGGAGGAGCGGCGCAGGGGATGCGGCGGTGGCGGCGGCGGTGGCGGCCAAGCGCTGGGGGCGGCTGTGGCGGCGGCCTGGGGCGCGAGCCGGCGATGTCGTGGCGGCACTGAGGGCGCGGGGTGGGCGGCGGCTGGAGGGCGGGCGGCGCGGGAGGAAGCGGCGGTGGTGGCTCCATGGCCCGCGCGCGTTGAAGGACGCGGCTCTCGCCTCAGCCCGGTGGCGGCGGCGGCGGCGGCGGCGGCCGAACAATGAAGCTCCTGAAGCCGACCTGGGTCAACCACAATGGTGAGTGAACGCAGGGGTCTCAGGAGGCCGAGCCTGGCGACAGATCGGGGTTTGAAGTCGGGTTGGTGCCGCGCGCAGGCCGTGCCCGCCTTGCGCCCGACGCCTGGTGCCCGGTGCCCTAGTCGCAGAGCGGGAGGTAACGGACTTTGTCCTCCGAGCGGGAAGACCGGCGAGCCCCGGCACGTGCTCCGCCTGGCTGCGGCGAAGTCCGCCTCCGCCCTAGCACTTGCGCTGAACCCTCAACTACCCACTGCCCACCCGTGGTCCGTGGAGGCGTCGCGGCCTGGCTTTGGGGAGCGGCCCTTGGGCGCCAGCCAGCTCCTGCCACTTGTCTGCATCAGCCAGGATGTGCTCAGATGGTTCGTTTTGTGAAACCTGGGCGCAACCTCTGTTGTAACCTTTCATTGGCGGGGTGAAGACCTGAAATCTGCATGTCTCTGCCATGCCACAGGGGCTGTTACTGCTCAGACTGAGGCCTGGATCAGGTGACAGTGCCCCCAGATGGGGGGCTTTGGCTCAGGGCTGAGATCCCCAGCCGAGGCACCACGTTTATTCTGAGCAGGGGCATCAGGGTGACTTGGGTTGGGGCCTAAAGGGCGCAGGTGTGTTCTAGGAAAGGGGCTTCCTTAGTTATGTGGCAGTGGCCCCAAAGCACACCTGGGGGAACAGACTCTTACAGTCCTCTGGTTGAGAAAAGACTGTGTGTGGTACAGAGAAACCTTTGGTAAATAGCAGTTTTGTTGTAGTTCTTCCTTGTTGGCACAATTGCAGGAGTTGGTCCCTACCCCACCCCCAAGCCCCCAGGGAGGTGAGGGAAGACTGCCTCCATCCTATGTTGACAGTACAGAAGCCCAAGGAGCATTCCTCCAGCATAAGGCCTGTAGCCGATTCCAGACTGTCTCTGACTGCTGATAGGCAAAGGGTCACCCCAAGCCTGTCTTGTTCCTCATTTCTGCTTTGCAGTGCTGCTAGACTGAGCTAGTTTTCTTTTAGAGCAAGTAGAGTAGATGCTTTTGCCTTTTTTGTACAAGTAGCTTTTCAGTTTTGAACCTGGTCCAGGTGTTGCTCTCTGCTTCTGCAACTGAACTGAACATCCATGTTCTTTCTGTCAGAAGTGCCCTCCATTTCCATCTCCTTGTGTGATGTCTTTCTCATTTTTCAGGACCCAGGTGAGGTCACCTTTTCAGTTTGTTACCATTCCTCCTGAGTTACTCCACTAGATGTGCTCTGTGCCTGTAGGTGTACTTTCCATATGCCCCCAGGGTGGGGACTGCCTCTTTTCTCACTCTATTCCCTGCCATACTCAGCAGTGTCTTCCACATAAAGGATGTACGATAAATGTCAACTATAACAGGTAAGAAAGATGAGATTTTTGTAATTTATGAAGACACAGTTAGGTTTAGTGTGCATGAAAGCAAAAGTTGTGAACTTGAGTTTCATTTCTCCTGTGTTGATTTCCTGATGTGTAGTGTGCAGATCTTTCTCTGGAGTATTGGGAAAATGTTCAGTAATTATAAATTATGGTGCTTGTGAATCAGGAAAGGAAAATTTTCATTATGAACTAATTTGTTGTGTAAGTGAAAATCTAAAGTAATTTTTATTTTAAAATAAAAATTTTGCCTAGATCAGTTTGTATGTATAGTCAGTCTGCCCTTCTCCAGTCTCTCTTCAACCTTGTGCCATATAATTTCTAACTTTGTGATAAGCCCCTTTGTAGGATACAAATTTTATGCTGTGTAAAAATAAGTCAGGATGCTTCAGTGATTCTCTAAGTACAAATGAGTGAGCGTCTACAATCAGGCCAGTAGCCAAACATCCCAGCCCAGCAGAGTGGGCAGTGCAGTAGGCCCAGGCCTCTTGTTGCTGTGGCCTCTCCATATTTCTAGGATGGAACTTGATATCTGCTCAGCCTTCTTCACAGTATAATTGTGATGTTTGGTTGGGAAGGTAGACACAAAAGTGCACCCCGGAGTATACATGCTTTAGAAATCTAAGACAATTTTTTTTTAAAGCTGGAATTTAACTTCTTTTAAATTTAACTTCTTTGTTAAATTTCCTTTCTTTTAAAATCTGAAATTAACCGTTGTCTCATCATGTATTCAGAGAACTGGGGTGTTCAGAGAACTGTCAGGGTAAATTACCATTACCCTGAAGGAAATTATCATGGTCTGGATTACTGATCATTCCTTTTTTTTTTTTTAATCCTCATGAGGACATTTTTGCTTTTCTCTTTCAGATAGAGCGGGAGGGAGAGAGGGAAGAGAGAGAGAGAAACATTGATGTGAGAGAGACACATCCTTGGGTTGCCACCCACACAACCCCACCTGGGACCGGGGACATGCCCTTAGCGGGAACCGAGGTACATGCCCTTAGTGGGAACCGAACCCGGGTCTCTCCGGTCTGCGGGCCAACGCTCTAACCGCTGAGCCAAACTGGCCAGGGCCGATCAGTTCTTTAAAAATTGGTGAATAGCCCTGGCCGGTTTGGCTCAGCAGTTAGAGCATCGGCCCGCAGACCAGAGAGACCCGGGTTCAGTTCCCACTAAGGGCATGTACCTCGGTTGCAGTTTGTCCCCGGCCCTGGTGGGGTTGTGCGGGTGGCAACCACTCAATGTGTCCCTTTCACATCGATGTTTCTCTCTCTCTCCCTCCTACTCTATCTGAACAAAAAGTGGAAAAATGTCCTCGGGTGAGGATAAAAAAAAAATTGGTGAATAGTGAGAGCTGCTGAGGGCAGGAGCTCCTTAGCCCAGAAGCCAGAGTAGTAGGTGCTTTGGATTAACAAACCACAAAGACCATGGTGCTTTGGAAGGGACATCATTTCACTTTCTGACTTTCTTACTCTGCAAGTCTCCTGACTTGTTATGTGGCATGACATACTTTTTCTGGTGTCTGAGAGTCCAAAGAGGGATGGAGCAAGAGAGCCCAGCAAATTCTCTGTGGAGGCAGATTCATTCAGACAGGGTGGGAAGGGCAGCTAGAATAGGCAGGATTGAGGCAAAGTGAGAAGTATATGTTGGGGTGTAGGCATACTTTCAGTCTTCATTTTCCTGGCTGATAATGGTGGCAAGACCTTTCCTTTAAGGTTTCTCAACCTCAGCACTGTTGATGTTTTGGGGCATATAATTGTTCTGTATATGGTAGGATATTAGCATCCCTGGCCTCTACCCGTCAGATGTCAGAGGCACACATCCCTCCATACACACCCAGTTGTGACAACCAGAAATGTTTCCAGATATTGCCAATGTCCCATGGTGGTCAGAATCACTCCAGTTGAGAATCTCTGCTCAATGGTGATCAGTAAGTTAATGAATTTTGAATCATACTGGGTTCAAGATGCCATCATTTAGGCCCAGCTGGTGTGGCTCAGTGGTTGAGCGTCGACCTATGCACTAAGAGGTCACTGGTTTGGTTCCCAGTCAGGGCACATGCCCACATTGTGAGCCGGGTCCCCAGTCGGGCATGCAGGAGGCAGCCTATCGATATTCTCTCTTATCAGTGTTTCTTTCTCTGTCTCTTTCTCCATTCCTCTCTCTCCAAAAATCAAATCAATCAATCAATAAGATGCCATCATTTAGTAGCTGTAAATTCTTAGGATTGTGATTCCACTTCTGGACCTTGGTAAAGTTGAATAAATATAAAAATTCACCCCTATCATTTCATACTCTACCCAAAGAATTCCTTAAGGTATGTAATAAGAGCTAATAATATTTATGATTTATATAGAAGTTAGGGGCCAGACACTGTTCATACGCATGTTTACTCTCTGTTTGTATATATAGTATTCTTTACATTTAACTTTATTTGAGGGTTGGCCAAAATAAGATTCATTTCTTAGTTAGGTTATGACCATATATTGGTCAGAAAGTGAAAGGAACTGGGATTTTGGTTGTAGAAAAATATAGTTTGTATTGATGTATT